GGTCCCTGAGACATCTCAGAGAATTTGTTCTCTCTTTCTATGAACAGCAAAATACTAAACTAATTATGCTTATTTTTTATGCTAAATTACATGGGAATCATTGTCAAATAAATGATGATAAACCTTCTTGAGTTATACTATGTTGGTCAGTGTTATTAATCTAAGTGTTTTAAAAATTTTGTAACATTTCTAAAATTGTGATCATCCACCCTGGTTATCAGTCATAATTCTAGTTACTTTAAATTGTTATGTGTCACAGAAATAACCAAATTTCTTTGTCAATTGCTATTTTTAGTCTCTTGGATATGGAGATGTGTAAATTACAGAACTCTAACAGAGAAAATTATGGCTTCATGAAACTGCTAACAGAAGATCAAAATCAAGAATTGATTACATGGGACTGAATGAACTGATGAGGATGATTATAATTTATATGATTTTTTGTTTAAAATATTGTTGAATTTGTTTTGTTTTTCCAGATTGAAGGAAACTTCTCTTTTCTTTTAAGCTAAATATGACTTACAGCAATTTGGTATATTATGCGTATGTAAGTCGAATTGAAATCTTTATCTTTTTCTCCCTAAATGATCCCTGCCTAATTTGAAAACTCTTGATGAATGAGTATGCTTGTTTTTGTGGCAATATAGTTAATTGCATAGTTTCAATAAGAACCTATTCTCCTTATAACAGAGCACAATTGGAAAAATTGGTTATATTACCAGGTTTTGACTGGAATGTCTTATTTGAGAGAAACCTGCATAGACTCAAGTATAACCAAACAGCTTTAAGGAACAAATAAACCCACTTGGAATTTGGCCTCGTACCTTGCTTACAAGATTCCTTGGAACCTTACCAGATGAGTAAAGAAGGTCACTTCCTGCCAGGTACAAGAACCTCAGGATATTTGAGGAACCTCGAGAAGAGAGGAATTCACTCAAATGTATAGGTATTGCAGACAGAGGCTGGTGACAAGTCCTTGGCTTGGCTTTCCTGGCCATGAGAGGTCTTTAAAGTTCAGTCTGAGATTCCTTATAAAAAGTTCCAGCAAAGCAGATTTAAAAGAGCCTATACGACCAACCACTATTCTTGCAGTACTTATGTAAATAATTGGGCCAAGTTTTTTGAAGTGACCTATTTTGCAAACCAATTAGTCTTGATTTGACTATCCTTGGTAAAAATGAGGGTGATTTTAGAGAGAAAAAGTTTGTTTCAATAGAAACTATAATACACATTTGTGGATATAAGTTTCTAGTTCTATTAATTGTCTTTGAGGGGTTTTTTTTCCACCTGTAAACTGGACTGGATCCTGAATTCTTCTCGTCTCCTGAAATATTCAGCTACAAATCTCGAAGCTAACACTTTCAATTTTTCCATCTGTTTCATTTTGGATCATTGAGAACTGAAACTACACTTTTTCCTGAAGCTCTGCAGACTAAATATGGCTAAGTTGATATAAACTTAAGTGTCGTTACCATGATAGCCCATATTTACAGAATAGTCATGCCCATTGCTATGTGAGCCACTTAGACGGATACCTGAACATGTGACGACATCATAAGAGACATTTCAAACTTCTAGAGATTCTTTGATCCTGAAATCTATAAATTTTCTTGATGGCTGTGGCCTGGGCTCAGGAATTGTTTTATAATGTGATCCAACCATTAACTTCGTGTTTCTTTCTGTTTCTGTAAAAGTATTTCTTATTAAGTACCTAGTTACTTGCTCACACTGTATAGTCTAACATTGGGAGTCCACCTGCATCACCACCTTCTCAAATGAATTTCACTAGACCCACCTATCATCAGGAACAAGAAACTGGTTCACTGAGATGGAACAACCTATGCCTCTTAGCAGCAGGAAGTAGTTAGTGGGGTCATCACCCCATTTCCCTCAAGAATGAGGAATAAACAAAATGGGGGATTTGTATGCACAGGCTCTCTAGGACCAGTTCAAACTGACCTCACTTTGTCAACAGAAAGTTAAAGTTGTTTTTCAGGGGCAAACTGAAAAAAATGCAATTCGTGTAGTAGGAACGTGCACAAAGGGGAATGTCTTGACCTGAGCTAACACCGGGAAGCAAAGATTCTCCTCCCCATGGAAACAAAGGGCCAGGACACAACTGGAACTCAAAGCTGGACTCTTATTAGAAGCAAAGAGCCCATTTTCTAGGAAGATCCAGTGTTAAAAACCCTTCCACAGCTTACGATCCATGCTTAAATTTCTCCAATCAATACCTGCCCAGGAAGTGCTTCCACATACAAGTCTGTCCCTCATAATCTCTTAAATTTTGCCCCAAGCCCTGGACTTGGAAGACAGATTTCAGAGCCTTGCCTCCTGTCTCTTTGTTGGTCCACCTCACCAAAATCCTTTTCTTTTCTCAAAAGCTGGCCCCATGATGTTGGCTTCTGTGTGCATCAGGTGGTGAGCTCTTTCTGAGTAACAGAAACATCCCTACACCCCAAACAGCAAAAGGTATCTTCTTTGATTTCCCATAACCTGGATATTGATCTGCAAAAATCCACATCACATTATTTTTTCATCATGTGTTTCTGTGTCTGACCTTCACACTAGTCTGTGAGATCTTTAACACATGACTAGGATCTTATTTAGGTTTGAACCTCAAGCCATAGAAATGCACAAAATTAACCAACAGTTTAAGTTGGAGAATAAATATCTATACTGGGAGGCATTTATATGTACCAAAACCCAATCAACATTTGCCATGCCTTAGATATGTAGAGCTGGTAGAGAAGTCTCTGAGATGTCATGTAAGAAGATATTTCACATATGAGCTTAATCTTCATTTGTGTTTGAATGATTGGTAAGTAATATGGACTGACAGGAAGGTTGATATTAGATGCTGCCTTTACCTGGATCTTCTAGTTCACAGACACTGGCTGGCTCAGTGAACCAACACTGACTGATATGTATCTATGAGTTCAAGTCAACCAGCAATGTGGTCTATAATCACACTTGTTGTCCTTTGTCTGCTTTCTAGTGGAACCTGAGAGGAAGGGAGATGGGGGTGCACACAAATATTAATATATGGCATCTTTTATCCTTCCCACCACCCTTACCTGAGGTTCTGATTTGAAAGTCAGCTTACCCAGTCTTCTTGAATACACAAGGACCCTTAAATCTGTGAAGTCATTATTGGCCCCCTGGGATTGTGGTCTTGCCTTCCAATAGCTTGTATCCCACTCTAACCCAGTCAGACCATTAGGAACCATGGTCATGCCTCAGGTCTGACTCTGGGTTTGTTATTATTTGAAGACACCTGCTCCTTTCCCATGCCATAGATAGTAGTAGGTTCCTCTTTGTGTATAAGTGTTGACCCATAGTCCTCCTAAAAGCTAGAGAAGACCAAACAGGCTGAGAGCCTTACGGTGTGCAAGACTAAGTGGATAGGTTGGCATGCAGATCTGAACCTGATTCCAATGCATTCAATCCCCAGATTGGTCTCTATTTCCCAACCCTTAAATGTCTCTCTTTTCCCTACCAGTATAATCCTGAGGTCCTGGCATGAGTCTAAGGGAATATATTGAAATACAGGTAGTGTGATTCCAGGTGCAGCAGAAAATGTAAGGAGGAACACAGATGAGAATGCATATTGTATATATAGAAGTGGTAAGAGACTAGAGAGAGTGGAGCAAATTGTTTCCACTGGAGATAGTACAAGTTCAGGCTTGAAAGGTAGGTGGGAGCTATGTCGTGGAACTCCTTGGATGCTAAGTTAACAGAGTGTGAATTTACCCTGCAGAGAAGAAGTTACTCTTGTGCAGTTCATAGAACCCGAGATTGTTACTAAGCCTGACTTGGTTCTTTGAATCCTAGTTCTATCACTTATCCTCTATGTGGTTCTACAAGTGGCTAATTATTCTAAACCTCATTTTCCCTCTGCAAATTGAGCACACAGTTTTTGATGAATTGTTAAGACTAGAGTCAATGAATCTAAAACAATGAGCCCAGTACCTGACAAAGAGAAAATATTTACAATGGGCTGAATTTTCACTGAAAATTAGGGAGAATTTGTGGATAAGAGGGGTGTCTTAGAAAGAATAACTTAACTGTTGACTGAGTGGGATTGTAGCTGTAGCATATTACAAAGACAAGGATCATCAATCAACACATCTATATGATAATGAGGAACTAATTTATGGACTAAGGCAGGGCCTAATGAAAGGAAAAAGAAGGAAAAAAAGGTATTGCTCTGTATGTGTGCCTCTCATGTACACATGCAGTCCTACACCTGATTCACAGGAGGAAGGTTAATTCGGGAATTTTCTTAAAAGAAGTCATACTGAAAACAACGAGTACTTAAGACCCACCCCAAGCACAAAACAGACACTGCTAAGGTCAGGAGGAAAAAATAACAAAGGACACAGATGTGCATATCTTGAGACTGAGGTGGTAGACAAAGATACACAGACACACACACTTTTCTCAGGGATGTAATGTTACTCCAGTCTCTAAGCAAGTGGCATCAGGTCCATACACTTAAGTAATCCCTGCTCCCAGATCCACACTTGTGGTTTTCCCATGTTACCACCAGGTGGGGCCCACATTTCAATACATCTGCACTACTTTTGGAGATAAGTTCAAGAAGAAACTCAGGGCTATTTCCTGTCTACTCGACTGAAGAAATCTTGCATGACAATTTACACAGCTAGAATTTGTAAAAAGATCTAAAAGCAGGACTATATGGCTCCCATAATTCCCTAGAACGTAGGCCAATTATCACAGAGAGCTAATAGCAGCTCTCTTGGAGTAATTAACTGGAGTAAATTAATAACCAATCTTTGTTTTCTGAAGTCACTTTGTTTATGTCTGCTTCTTGTGCAGAAGCTTCTCCTTATCCCAATGACAAATCCATATATTAAGTACTATTTTAATGCTAAACAGCACGACTTTCAGGAAAAATAACACTTAGTTACTTTTAAGGCAAAATTAAATCATCTGCTCTGAACATTCTAATTTCAGGAAAAGAGAAGAGGCGAGAAGAGGAGACAAGCTGAGAAGAGAGGAGAGAACAGGAGAGGGACAGAATGACGTTGGTAATGTGGTGCCACCATCTTCTAATTGGTGATATCCTTTGAGATTTCCTCAGGATCACTTTATTTGCTTACTGAACTTTTTATGCAAGTAAAATAGACATACAAAAGTGTATGTATCATAAATGTGCCGTTCCATAAAAGTTAACAGCACCTGCAAGCTTCCCTTAATATAAATTTTTATCATATACAATATAATCTTGCTTGTTTTGCTTCCTTTGATGAATATTAACTTTATGAATTTCATTCTTATAGTGCGTGAACAGTTACTGTTCCCTTATTCTCACAGCTATATAGTATTCCACTATCTCAATACATTGGAGTTCCCATTTATCCATTCAACTGTTAATGGACCTGTGTGTAGTTTCAAGTTTTGTACCATTACAAATAGTGCTGCTATGAACAGTTTTGCATGTCTTTTTGTGAATGTATTCATGCATTTGTGTTGGCTATACAAATAAGGATAAGATTTCTGTATTATGCACTTGTTCAATTTTAGAGAATATTGCTAAATACTTTTCCAAAATTACTATGTCAATTTACATTCCTCTAAACAGTATATAAGAATTCCAGTTGCTCTAAATCCCTGCCAACACTTGGGTCTTTCCCCCTGCTTTTCATTACAGCAATTCTGGTAAATGTATTTTGTGGTTTTAATATAAATTTCCTTGATAACTAATGGAGTATAGCATTTTTCACACATATATTGACCATTTTGAAACTTTGTTTTTCAGCACTCTTTAATTCTATTAATGATTTTTAACTGGATTGCCTTACTCTTTTCTTATTATTTGTAGTATAATATTTATTTACATATTCTGGATATAAATCATCTGTCAGAAATTATGTATTGCAAATAATTTCTATGAATCTATAGATCTTACTTTCACTGCTTAACGGAGTCTCTTGGTAAACTGACGTTCTTGATCTTAATAAGATCTACATATCCTTTTCCTTTTATAATTATTCCATTTTGTGTCCTATTAAACAAGTCTTTGCTAAACATAAGACCACAGAGATGTTTTCTTTAAAATGCTTTGTGGGGTACATTCACAATGAGGTTTACAATCCCTCTACACAGGTTTTTGAGCATAGTGTGAGCTAGAGATTAAACTGCATTTTTTTCTCTGTGGATATCCAGAATGACTCAGCAACATTTATTGCTGAGAATACTCTTCCCCAGTGAACTACAGTGTCTTCTCTGTCATAAGTCAGGTGATTGTCTATGTTTGGGTCTGTTTCTGAACTTTATTCTATTCTTTTGTTAGTTTGTCTATTCTTGTGCCACACTCACACTATCCTAATTACTATAGTTTTATAACAGATCATGATAGCTGATATTATAAACCCACTCATGTGGTGTTTTTCAAGATTTCCTTTGGCTCTTCTAATCCTTTTCCATTCCCATGAAGTTCTAGAAACAGTTTGTCAAAATCTACCCATGCAATTTTGCTGGGATTGATTATAATTATGTGAAATCTATAGATTACTTGGGAAGAAACTGAAATCTTTACAATACTGAGACTTTCATTAATGAACATGGAAACCCCTCTAATTATTTGAGAGTTCTTTTAGCATCACTCTCTAGTTTTCCAAGTAGCGGTCTCATATATAAATCACTAGATTTATTCCTAGGTACAGTATTTGATGTGTTTTAATACCATTTTTAATAGTATCATTTAAAAATATCTGTTTTCCATTTGTTTGTCACTAGTGTGTTGAAGTACAATTGTGTTTTGGCTCCAATGGCCTTGAAAAAGTTTTTTTCAGTTTTGTTACAAACCCATCATGCCATCTGCAGGTAAGGCAAGTTTTATTTCTTCTTTTCTCATCATTAGACCTTTTATTTCTTTTTCATACCTTATTGTATTTTCTAGGCTATCCATAAAATATTCAATAGAAGCAGTGGTGTTAGGCGCCCATGTCTCATTATTGGTTTGGAAGGAAAGCTTTGAACAATCCATCAAGTGTGATCTTTGCTGTATGATTTTTGTAGATTTTTAAACCCAAATTAATCATATTCCATTTTATTTGTAATTTGTTAAGTATTTTTATCTTGTATGGTTGTTGAGTTTGGGAAAATGATTTTTCTTCACTTAATCATATGATTTTTCTCCATGTTTCCTATTTATGTGGTGAATTTGTCAATTGATTTTTGAATGTTACAACAATATTTCATTCCCAGACTTAATAACACTTGGTCATTGTGCATTATACCTTTATTACTGATTCTATTTGCTAATGACATTTAGGTCTTTTTTAAATTGTGTATACATGAAAGCAATTAGTGTATAATTTTCTTTTCGGTAATGATTTTTGTCTTCATTTGGTATCATATTATATGACATCATTAAAAGACCTGAGAAGGCTTTCCTGTTTTCCATAAAAACTTCATGAAAGCTTGAGGATGTCTCTTTTGGAAATATTTGATATATTTCATTAATAAAGCCACCTGGATCTGAAAGCTTCCTTGTGGCAAAGTCTTAAATAAAGTATTATTTTATTTAATATATTAATTAATATTTAATTAATAGAAATGAATTGGTTAATTTATTCAAATTATTTAGTAATTTATCTATACAATTTTTAAGGTATTAGCTTCTTAATATACAATTATATATTAATTAATATATTATATTACATATTATAATTTTAATGTGTATGTTATATATTTCTTGTTTATATTTTCTATATTATAAATATACGCACATGTGTATTTATGTGTTATATAGTAAATTAATATATTAATTTATTAATGTGTAATTTATTAAGTATTAATTTCTTTAATATATATTGGCTTATTCAAAATTCTCTTTCTTCTGTCAGCTTTGGTGAGTTGTATTTTTCAGAAATTTGTCTATTTCATTCAAAAGGTCATATTTATTTTCACAAACATTTTATAATATATTATTTTAATTTTTGCATGTTAGGAGCAAGGGTAATGACTTTCTCTGTTTTATTCCTGGCAATGATAATTTGTGTCTTTGTTCATCAATTTTTCTATCTTTTCATTGAACCACCTTTTGACTTTCTTAACTTTTTAAATATACATACCCGTGAGTGTGTGTGAGTGTGTTGAATTCCTATATTTATTAAATGTTCCAATGCCTTCTGCTTTTATCCTCATTACTTTTTATTCTACTTTCCTTATGCTTGATTTGGTTTTGCAGCTACTTAAATCATTCACTTTCAACCTCTCTTCAAATATGCATTAAAAACTATAAATTATGCTTGTGAGCACTCTTTTTTGCATTGAAAATTGCTACTGATTTATTTTTATCTCACAACAGTAATTTTGTGCCGTGATATGAAGAACCCAAGTCTTGTTTCTTTGCTTCTCCTTGGACCTAAAAATTGATAAATAGACTGAGGTGAAAGTGGCTTTTCACTAGTGCCAGGTTATCGCTTGCTCAGGGCTTTGAGGCTTGCCTGTTTTTATTATCTTTGAACAGCTTTTGAATCCATAGTTATGTCACACTCTCAATCCTGGTGTTGGCAATCTGTAACTTCTCTTTGTTATTCCTGATCAGGCTGCCTAGAGTATTTTCAATTTTATTCGACTTCTTAAAGGGGAGCTTTTTTATTTCATTGTTTTTCTGATTTTTTTTCAATTTTGTATTTCATAGAATTCTACTCTGATCTTTACTGTTTTCCTTTCCTTTGCTTACCTTGAGTTTAATTTGCCTTTCTTTTACTAGACTCTTCAGATGGAACCTGAAATCTTCGAATTGAGCCTTTTGCTAATATAGGTCATTAGTGCTATAATAACCCCTTAGTACTGATTTAGCAGCATGCCACAATTATTAAGGGTAGGTTTTTGTTTTCATTTAGCTAAAATATACTCCAATTCTCCTTTGGTTACTTCTATGACCCATAGGATTTATAGAAATATATTTATTAGTTTATAATTATTTGGAGATTGTCCAGACATGTCATTGCCATTGATTTCTAATTTAATTTCATTGTGGTCAGAGAATATACTTTTTATGACTTGAATCTTTTTAGATTTGCTGTTGGTTTTCTGCCTTCAAATATGGGCTTTCTTGGTAAATTTTCCCCGTTCACTTAAAAATATGTATTTTTCTGGTTTTTGGGTGGGCTTGTTCATAAATGCCAACTAGGTCAACTTGGCTGAAGGCATTGTCCACGTCTTCTGAATGCTTACTGATTTTCTGTTTACACATTCTATCATTTTTGAGAGAAGGATATGAAAATATCTGATGATAATTTTGAATTTGTCTATTTCTCCGTGCAAATTTATTAGTTTTTGCTTCATATATTTTGAAACTCTGTTAAGTGTTTGGGATGTGTTATGTTCTCCTGATGAATTGACTCCTTCCTTTATCATTATGAAATGACCTTTTTATGACCATGATATATGCTCTGAAATCTACCTTGCTCGATATTAAGATAATCACTACAGCTTTCTTTTGAATAGTGTTACATTTAACTTTTTTGTGTCTTGTTGGCAGTACATGGTTGAGTCTTGCTTTTGTATCCAATCTGATATTCTCTTCCTTTTACTTGGGGCATTTAGACCATTTATATATAATATAATTAATTATTATATTAATAAATAATTAATATAATATAATATATAATTAGAGTTTGCTTTAAATCAGCCAGCTTACTCTGTTTTCTATTTGTCTCATCTGTGTATTATTCTCTTTCTTTTTCCTGCTATGCTGTATGAAATTTTAAAAATAATTCATTTATATAAAAATGCATATCATATAAAATTACCTATTTCAAAGCAGATAGTTCAGTGGCATTTACTACAGTCAAAACGTTGTGCCACTACTACCTCTGTGTAGTTTCAATATGTTTAATTACCGTAAAATAAACCCCATACTCATTAAGCAGTTACTCCTCATTCCTTCTCTAGCAACCACCTATCTGTTTTCTGTTTCTATTGGTTTACCTATTACGGATATTTCATATCAATGGGATCATCAAATATGCAACTTTTCCTGTCTCACTTCTTTGACTTAGCATTGTGTTTTTGATGTTCATTTACACAGTAGAATGTAACAGTACTTCATTCCATTTTATGGCTTAATAATAGTCTATGTATGGATGTACCATAACTTGTTTAAATATTCACTTGTTAATTGCCATTGTGATTGCTTCCACCTTTTGCCTATTGTGAATAGTGCTGCCATGAAAATTTGTATGCAAGTATTTAAGTACCTGTTGTCATTACTTTGGGAATATACCTAGGAGTGGGATTTCTGGGTAATAGGGTAATTCTGTGTTTAACATTGGAGAAAATGTCAAACTGTTTTCCACAGTGGCTGTACCATTTAGCACTTGCACCTGCAGTATCAAATTTCTCCACATCATCACCAACACTTGTTACTTTCCATTTTCTCGATTATCACCATCTTAGTGAGTGTGAAGTGATATCACTGTGGTTTTAGATTGAATTTTCCTAATCAGAAATTATGCTGAACATCTTGCTGTGTACTTATTGACCATTTTTATAGATATATTTTTGGGAATTATATGCCCAAATTCTTTACCAATTTTTAAATTGGGTTGCTTGTCTTGTTGAGTTATAAAACTTCTTTACATATCCTGGATACTAAACCTTTATGAGATGCAATTTGCAAATATTTTCTTCTGTTATAGGGGTTGTCTTTTTCACTCTCTTCAATTGTGTCCTTTGTTGTACAAAAAGTTTAATTTTCATGGTCTAATTTTAATTATCTGGCTTTTGTTGTCATGTGTTTGTTGTTATATCTAAGAATCCATTGCCAAATCTAAGGTCTTGAAAATTTACCTGTGTTATCTTCTCAGAGTTTTATAGTTTTAGCTTTTGCATCTAGGTCATTGATAAATTTTGAGTTAATTTTTGTTTATGGTAAGAGGTATGTGTCCAATTTCAGTCTTTTGCATGTGGATATCCAATTGCCCCAGCACCGTTTGTTGAAGAGGCTATCCCTTCCCCATTGAATGCTCTTTGAACTCTTGTCAGAAGTAAAATGACCATATGTATGGGTTTACTTCAGGATTCAGTTTGATTCCATTTGTCCATATGCTGGTGCCATACCTTATAATCCCTCGTATTTCTGTAAGGTCAGTCATGCTGTTCAGTCTTCCATTCTTGATTTTATTAATTTAAATCTCTCTCTGTTTATTGTTCATTCAGGCTAAATGTTCATAAATTTGGTTGATATTTTCAAAGAATGAACTTTTACTTTCTCTAATGTTTGTCTGTTGTCTATTTCATTTTTTTCTGCTTCAATCTTTATTATTTTCTTCCTTGTGTTTACTTTGAATTAACTTGCTCTTCTTTTATCTTGTTTTATAATGTTGAACTTTAAATTATTGATTTGAGATATAATATAGGCATTTACAAATCTAAAATTCCCTATAGGCAATGCTTTATCTGTAGCCTAGAAATTTTGGCATGTTCTATTTTCATTTTTATTGATCTCAAAATACGTCTTAGTTTCCCTGTGAGTTATTCTTTCACCCATTTTGGGGGGGCAGTTTTGAGCATGCCATTTAATTTTTACATATTTGTGAATTCCTCAAATATCCCTCTGTTATTGATTTCTAATTTAATTACACTGTGGTAGAAAAACATATTTTGTATAAATCAATCCTTTTCAATTATTGAGATTTGTTTTGTGACCTAACTTATAGGCTATCAACATCTCTATGCACTTCAGAAGAATGTGTATTTTTGTGTTGTTGGGTGGAGTGTTCTACAGATACATGTTAGAATTGGTTGGTTATGGAAATTTTCATCTTCTATTTCCTTGTTGATCTTATGTCTAGTTGTTTATCCTTATTGAATCTTTATCTTTCTGCTCCTAAGACTGGATAATCTCAGCTGACCTATCTTCAAGTTGACTGATTCTTTCTCCTGCCAGCTCAAGTCTGCAGTTGAGTACTTTAGTGAATTTTTTATTTTACTATTTGTACTTATTAGATCCAGAACTTCTATTCTTTTAAAATATTTATCTATTTATTGATATTCTCCATTGGATGTGACATCCTCCTCATAGTCTCCTTTTGCTTTTTAGACATTTTTTTTTTTAATTTCTCCAAACATAGCTGGTTTAAAATCTTTGTCTATTAAGTCCAATGTCTGGGATTTCTCAGGGACAGTTTCTATTGACCACATGTTTTCCTATGTATGGGCTGTACTTTCCTATTTATTTGCACGTCTTGTTACCTTTTGTTAAAAACTGAATATTTTATATCATATAATCAGGCAACCGTTGAAATCAGATTCCACCCCCAGAGTTTGCTGTTATTGCTTTTTGTTAAGTGACTTTCCTCAATAGATGCTTTAAAATCTGTGTCCTTTCTTTTGTGCAACCCTGAGCTCTCTGTATGATTAGCTTAGTGACCAGATAATGATTAGATGGAGATTTCCTTGGATGCCTTGAGACAGTAACTCTCCCAGTCTTTGTTAAGGGGATTTGTGGTGTGTTGGGGTACACCGTCAAGACTCAGACAGCCAGCTCACAAACTTGCCTTAGTTTTCAATTCTTGCCTGCACAGAGCCTCAAAGTCATCTAGAAGTGAGAGCTTAAGGTCTTTGCAGGTCTTTCTTGAGATGAGACTGTGCATAGCCCTGGCCATGCACACTGCCTTTCACAAAATGTGGCCCTCTAAAGTCCCACAATTATGTCACAGCTTTTCAATGGCATCTAGAGACATCTCATTGCCAAGTTTTTCTTTTTAAGTTTTTGTTCAGCCTCTTGTTTGCCCCAACTTGTATCACTACCTCAGGCAGCAACAATATGAAACGATATCTTTGATTTTGTCTTTCTTTTGACAATTGGATTCAGAGAAAATGTTGTCTATATGAAGAGAGATCATGTCAAATAAAGACAAATTTGAGTATGGAGCTTTTGAGGAAGCTTTCGCACAAGGCAAAATAGTGACAGCTCTCTGGGTCAGGGCTTGTGGATTGCTCCAGTCACATTCTGCCCCTTCCAGTGACTGCTTGCCTGCTGGATTTGTTTACTACAAATACAATCCATTGCATGGCTCTTTATTTTTAAGGCTACTGTGAAGCTGATGAGTGAGGGATAGAAGAAGGGCAAATGCAAATGTCCAAACACTTACTGTTTTCTTGGCATTCAGTTGTTTTTCTTAAATAAACACTCTTTGGAATATTGCAAGCTTTCAGTTATTTCCAATGTTCTGAAACTTTTGTTTTTGATAATTTTTTGCCAGTGTTTTCATTGGTTTGATGGAAGAACAGATTTTCAAATGTCTTTCCTCCTCCATTCTGCTCTGTGGTTTTCAGCTCACTTCTCTGTAGTTTCTTCCCCTCTTGAATGTTCTCTCTCAACTTCAAGCTGTTCAGGTGGTCAAGAACTCTGACTACTTTCTTCTATGTATCTTCTAATATGACTGTGATTTCTACTTGGCTCCTGTTCGCTTGCCCTCTGAAAAATTCCCATAAGGAACAGTCCAGGGTGAATTCAGACATAACCTTGTGTGCTTGCTTTCTCCCAAAGATCACAGACCATCAATTATTCATTTATTGTGTATTTCTTAATGTTTAAATCATTTTATATATCTTAGTCAGCTTTTATAGTTGTTTTGTCAAGAAGATTAGATTAGTGCAATATGAGTTAATCTATCATAGCTAAAACTATAAGTGTAGCTGCCCTTGAATTTTCTTTTCTTATTTTCTTTACAGGGAACTGGTTAAATGGACTTGGCACATCCACACAAAGGAGTATTTTGCAACCTTAGAAAGAGAGGAATGTTTACAACTACTTATAGAAGGTGATTTCCAGAACGAATTATTAATTATAAAAAGTACAGCAAATGGCAGTGCTTTTTACAGTAATTAAATTCAATTTCCCTCTGAAGGTCAACTTTTGCCACTGCTATTCTTGAATTCTATAATCCCCTTTAATATCATGGAGCTCAATTCCCTGGAAAATATCCCTCTATGCTTGCCTCGTGTAGGTTATGAGAATGCCTAGCAAGATGCATATGTAACAGAGAAGTACGAAACCACCTTATTGAAATTTCTATGGTTCCAATAGTCAGGAATAGTGGTTCTCAAACTTCTTCATATGAGGAAGCATTTATACACTCTTAAAATTGTTGAGTATCCAAAAGAACTTTGTTCATGTGGGTTACATCCATTAATATTTACCATATGGTAAATTAAAATTGAGAAAATAAAAAGCTGTGTTTTCATTTGTTTAAAAATAGTAAACATCATATGTTAAAATAAATATTTTTTATAAAGTGGCTATATGTTTTAAAAACTTTAGTTGGAAGATTGATATTTGTTTTACTTTTTATAACCTCTTAATGTCTCCCTTTGTAGTACACATATAGGTTCTCATATCTGCTTCTACATTCAATGTGATGCATTATGTTGTTTTGATTGAGGTACATGAATAACTTCTAGCTCACCCAGATAGGTATTTTGGAAAAGATAAATATTGTACCAGCCTTTTCAGATATTCTTCGTAGAAATATAATCTCATATTCATCAGAATAGTCTTTAAATAGTAACAAGCTTTCCAGTATCCTAACTTTTGCTTGAAAGCTCACAGTATGTGATTAGAAATAAATACTATACATTGTTTTCTTTAAAGGTACTTGCTCCCTTCATCGTTTTGCGGAAAAATATTGGAGAACTATGAAAACTTGTCTAAATAACTATAGTTTACTTGCAACTCAGTTTAAAATATTGTTCTATGAAAGAGTAGCAGTTAGTTTGTAATTTAAATAATCGCACAAGTGATTTCCCACTAGACAACCATACTTCAAAATGTAGCAGAAGTTCTTCATGTATATTTCCAACTTCTTCACACCAAGTATTGAAAATATATGCAAGGAAGTATTAAAATTTAATAAAATTAATAATCTTTACTGCTTTAAAAACAGCATTCTAAAGTGAGTTTGGATTTTTTTTCCCTACAAATGCATAGTGTTGAAAAATACATTGTACTGCTAAATTTTGATCTCACAGTATTGATTCATGCTAAGGCATCGGCAGTTTTACCCACTGTCACTCTGCCTCATTAGTATAACTGTCAAACAGTTAAAGAGGCAAATACCTTCATAGTAATATTAAGTAATTATTTTCACCTCAGGACACTCTAAAAGAATCTCAAGGATCCCCAAGAATCCATAGGCAACTTCTTGAGAACTGATAGTTTAGTGTATGCTAGGATAGGCTTGAAAGATAAAGAATAAATTACTGCACCCACTAATGGTGCAGTGGTAATCATACCATATCATTAAAAATGAGGTACAGTGCTTGGTAGATACCTTTGGATTTTGGAGGTATCCACTTAGGAATACTGCTGTCATTCATATGTTGGGTAACTTAAAAGGCTGAGAGATTTCAGTGGGACTCAGAACAATATAGGGCTTTGCAGGAGATCCAGGCTGTGATGCAAGCTTCTGTGATACATAGGCCATGTGACCTGGCAAATTTAATGGGACTAGAGGGACTCATAGTAAACCAGATCTCTGTATGGTTTATCTGTCAAATCCCAGTAGGAGAGTCAATGTGAAATCCCTCATGGTTTTGGAGCAAGGCTAGGCCTCTACACCATTTCATAAACAACTTGTGAATTATGGGAGAGTCTGAACCATGACCCTGTGATAGTGCAATCAGAACTGACTATAATGACCTAGGTATTATCAGTTTCTCCAAGTCAGTATGTGATGTAGATGTACAACAGACAAATAAGGGGTCAGTTATACCTAAAGCTTTATCTGCTGCCTGGTTGTGTTGGGGTCTTCATGGCATTAAGTAAGCAAAGACATGATAAACTACACTTTCAAGGCTAATTTCCTCTAATTATCATGACAGGCTAGCTCTGCTGCTCCATATGGGGCAAAACTAAGAGTAGAGAGCTCAGATAATCCCCTCTGGACTCTTTTGAGCTTCTGTGCCAGGTGGTAACAATACGTGGGCAATTGAAGCAAAAGTTATCCCTAGGACAGAGTAAAAGTGCTCAGACCTCTCAGCAGTGAAAATTTGGCTTACTCCACCAGACAAGCTACCTAGACAAGGTGAAAAGCTGGCCAAGGTGAGGGGAATATGGAACAGGAGTGCCTATTTATGGTTCTCTTGATAACTTGAAGTGACAGAGTGCCAGAATGAATTTCTTGTAGCCCATGAGCAGATCTGAGCAGGACTTGGATTCTATCAGACATTCTACACTACTTGCCATTTGTCCCTTTGAGTTTGTTTACAGCTGCAATGGACAATTATGGCACCCTACCAGTTCCTACCCCAAGTACAAGCCTGTCTCATTTTTACCTTGAGGGCTCTCTTTAACAGTCATGGTGATTGATCACCCAAATCTCAGGGAATCTTATATGTGCTAATAGTTTTAATGTTCCTGGGATGATGCTAAAGAGATATAAGACGATGGCTAAATGTAACAGCTTCCTCACTGGGACATTATGAAGCCCATTCTACAGAATTCCTCAAAAGGGTCCATAGTGGAAATAAGCTTAGTTGCCCACAACAGTAAGCTGCTCATTAACTCTTCTTTCATTGCCTCCACCCAACCCCGCACCCCCCATCTACTTCTTTTGCTCTAACTTGTGCATCTTGGGGTAACCTACCAAATAAATTACCACAAATATGTCCTGACTCAGAGTTTACCTATGTGAGAACTCAAAGTAAGACAAGTAGTATCAGATAAGTAAAGTAGGGGTATTTTTTTTAAGTAAACGTATATAATTGTCATGCTTCTCCTTTTTTGTTTTCAGAATGCTAAACCAGGAAAAGAATTTTCTTTTTCCCACTGTACTTTGTTTAAGGTTATGATGTCATTTTGTAGTCCTTACATCTTGCTGATAAGGAACCTTAACCTCAGTGGAAATTTGGTGTAAGAAATAAGAGATTACTGGTATGGACTTAAAACAATGTTTTCCTCCACAGATTACTTGTGTGTAATTTGAGGTTGGGCACGCTAATCTCTTTCTACCAATCTGTGATTCAAAATGCAGTATTGTTTTTTTTTGCAGAATTTTTTTCTTTTTCAATTATTAGTCTTAAAGACAGAATTTCTTCCTAATTAACATCTTCTATTATCAAAAGGTATAGAGACCCAAGATAGCTTAAGAGGAAAGAATGAGCTGGAACACATGACCCATAGACTGTACAAGCTCAGGTAGAATAAGCTATCTGGATCTAAGTCACCCTTAAGAATCACCTGGGTCTCATTCAGTCTCCTTTTAGAATATACGCTTCATTATCTTCTTGGGAAATTGACTTCTTCTGCTGTCTTATGCTTTGTTCTCTTCCGTCTCTTCAGGTCATTTACGATATTGACTTTCTGTGGTACTAACCCACCTCAACTCTATATGGCTTCCCATTCAGATAGCCAGAGCTGAAGATTCTGTCTCTGAGTCCAAACCCTCAATTCTCAGATGAAGTATATGATTAACCACAATTGCAGCTTGTGTCCACCTCAATCCATTCAGTTGTGGCAGGAGGATGGTTACTCACAAGCTAGTTTTGTCCCTTTTGATCAGAAAAAGTTCTACGTTCAAAATTCTATTCTAATAGTAGGGCATAAATTTTTTCTGGGGGAGGGCAAGAGTAAGCTGGACCGGGAAAGTATACTAAAGTATGCCTCTCTGTGGTTATATCCCTATCCTTGCCACATTTCTCAGTGTCGTTGGAATGAAGGAATGACACATTCATGGATGTATTTGGCTTAGTCACAGTCTCCAGCCCTTGCAGAGTTTGCACTGATAACTAGATTTCTGATCTATGTCTTATATCAGACATATACCATAATCTACCTGTGAAACATGGTGCTCACACATTATAGGTCTATAAGGCACTACAAGTTGGTAAACATGTTCACAAATTAACCTGTATTCTTGGACTTTTATAGTCAATTTTTTCAGTTTTGGTTGTTTTGCTCCTGTCCCACTCCACAATACTAACAAAAAGGTGCCTCTACCAAGTGAATAGGCCACCAGATTATATAAAACCAGACTTTCTGGTAAATTACTGAATTTATTATTAAAGATTTCAATTGAATTAACATGGAGTAAATGGCTACTCCATAGTGGTAGGATTTCAGAAGGAACTCAGGACACACATGTCAACTAAAACCCAACACAGAGGAAGACTGATAAATGACAGACAACCACTTAAAGAAGGTAACTCAAAGAGTACAGGATCAGCTACATTGCCTTTGGTCATACCTGCCTAATCACTTTACCAACTGCTTGGTTTGTAAGATTAACATTGTGCAGTGAAAGATCAACCTGAAGGACGTAAAACAGTCTTTAAATCTGAAATTCTTGTAATGCCTTGGGAAATGTCAGCGAAACACTCCAAGAAGGAAGTCAAAATCCAGAAAGTTCCATAAAAAATGGTGATGGTTTATACACTTGCGTGCTAACAGAGGAATGAAAGCAGGTACTCATCATATTCACAAACAGGTAGCCTCTGTTCCCCTAGGGCTGATTTGGAACCACCTGAGGAGCTGCCAGATTGCAGTGCCCTATAAAATGCTCCATAATGATCAATAACTAGATCTTAGCTTACTTTCTGACTTTTCTCAGTTGGTGAGTTTCGCTTGGAAATGACTAAATAGGAATGGTTGGCATTGACTTTGCCTTTTTGTTTAATTTAGCTTTTGTTTGTCACATTTAATTCAGATTAAATTTGAATCCTGCATTAAAATATTTGGTTTGTACCAACCCTGAGACAATGTTGACTTTCCCCAGACTTTCCTTCTATGCTCTTCTCATAATGAATGAACACTTTATTGCTACTATGCATGAGCTGTAGAAGATGTCTAGAGAGTAGAGTTGCTTGATCCTGGTTTGTTGTTTTCATATGGAAACCCTACACAAGGACATACTAAGTTTTTAGTGTCATGTCCTGGGAATAGGATTGCCTGCATGTTTGTGTATGTATGTCTAAATTTATTGTAGAAAGTTTTGTTCTGACTTTACACAGCAGCATTGGATGTTGGCTGAGCACAGGCTCTTATGCTAGAAGTCGTAAAGTCTTGATTCCATGATGTGACATCATGGGCAAGTCACTCCATCTTCCTCAGTTTTGGATTTCACAAGTGTTGAGTGAGGAGGTTGGGCCAATGAGTGAGTATGTCTTTTCTTCATCTTTTTTCTCTATTTGTTTTAAGCATTATAAGGAATTCATTTTCCT